GGTGACATTTCAAAGTGAAAGACCCTCATTGTACTGAGAGCTGAAATCATTTTTCCATAGTGCCATGACACTCCTGGCTTGGCCATGTAGGGACAAGAAAACGCCCCTGCCCAACCTGGAGGATGACCTGATGATGGAACTGTGACGTCTACTCAAGAATGAGGAAGGTGGTCTTCTCCCCTTCCCCACTTTCCCTCTGATTATAAAACTGTAGCCCACTGAGTTCTCAGGGTGCAGCACCCTCTCACCCACCCACTTGTAAGCCTCACAAGTGTCCTACTCTAATAAATCACTTCTTATCTATCACTTTGCCTCTCGCTTAATTCTTTCTGTGCTGAGACATAAAGAACCGGAGCTCCTTGGAGCCTCCCGAAATGCCACCTAGTGATTTCACTGTTAGAAGCAGTCCATAAACCCTCCCAATTGGCCATAATGCACTGCCCAGGCCACCAAAAGGGTGAAACTCATATAACAGAGGGCAACTTGTTAGCTGACCAAGCTGCAAAGAAGGGAGCAAAGAAGGCAACAATCAAGCCATGATAGGATCATTTCTCCCACAGACTGACTTGTCAAAATACCAAGCAGTGTACTCAGAAAAGGACAGGGAGGGCGGAGTGGTTGAGAGTCCGCCTGCCGATGCAGGGGACATGGGTTCGTGCCCCGGTCCGGGAAGATCCCACATGCCGCGGAGCGGCTGGGCCCGTGAGCCATGGCCGCTGAGCCTGCGCGTCCGGAGCCTGTGCTCCGCCATGGGAGAGGCCACAGCAGTGAGAGGCCCGCGTACCGCAAAAAAAACCAAAACAAAACAAACAAAACCCAAAAGGACAAGGAGAGGACCGAAGAGTGGGGTTTCACTATTGACCACACATCCCCTGGCTGGAAACGTAGTGCACAAGGAATTATTTTGATTCCTGAGATACTCCTGGACACTGTGCTGTAGCACATTCATAATCGTACCCATCACGGGAGAGATGCCACCTTACGATGGATTCAAAAGTATATAATGGGGCCTAACCTACAAAAAACCATCCAGTGAGTTACTCAGAATTGCATGATTTGGGCTAAAAATAATCCAAAGACTGCCTGTCAGGCCTCCCCAGATGGAGACCCAACACAGAGGAACCTGCCCCACTGAGGACAGGCAAATAAAGTTGACTCAAACGCCTTGAGCTGCAGGAAATTTCAGATATCTGCTAGTGTTTGTGGACACTTTTTCAGGATGGGTGGAAGCATAACCCACCAGGACAGGAAAATTCTCTGAAGTGGTTCCAGCCCTCCTTAAGGAAATTATCCCCGGGTTTGGACTGCCTAACACCCTTCAAAGTGATAACAGGCTTGCTTTTGTCTCTAGCATAATTCAACAAATAGACGTCTAAAGCACTACAAATTAATGGGCAGTTACATTCATCCTGGGACCACAATCAAGAGGAAAAAAATGAGAAAATGAATCATACATTAAAAAGAAGCACTGCTAAAATAGGTCAAGAGAATAATTTAACTTGGGATAAGGCTCTGCCAGCTGCCCTGCTATGGATCAGAGTGGCTCTCAGAAGCAGGCTTAAATTAAGCCTCTTTGAAATATTTTATGGTAGGCCATTACAGGTGTCTACCTGGACCAGGGAATCTGTAAACGCTCTGAAAGGTCTAGCTGTTGCTAATTAGGTTAAAATTTGGGGCACTATACTGACCTCTCTTCATGAGTTTGCCTCCAACAGGTCTGCCTATCCAACTGAAGTAGGCTTTTACCTCCTTTCCAACCCAGAGACCGAGTCTTCCTTAAAACCTGGAGAGAACACGGGCCTGAAGCTCAGCTGACTGCAAGGTGGACAGGACCACGTGTGGTATTACTTACTGTGCACTCATCTGTCAAGTTAGCTGAAGAAAAGCCATGGATTTATCACACTCAGATTAAAGCAGCACCACTGTCATCAGAAAATGGCCCAACTCCCAGAAGGCCTGGAGAGCAATGGGTTTGTGAACCCTTAGAAGATGTAAGTTTGCTCTGCAAAAAAGATAAATATTGAGATTGCAATTTCATTGTAGCTGGAGAAGGGTGGGTCAACCTACTTGTTTAATCTTGTTCAACTTAACAACACAGCAATTTAGTGTAATTATGACACCGTCGGAAAGTTAAAATTAATAGATATGTATAGAAACTGGAACCAAAACCCCCAAGTCCAATTACAAATTAGACAAGAGAAGGACTGAGGGATTTCATCGGGTTCAAATTATTGAGAATTGTCCTATCTACCAAAGATTCTAAGGACTATTCTTAGACTAAAATAGAATATTCTAATCAGCCCAAGGCTGATCAATTCCATTCTACAATCACCCACATCACCCCTATTGAGCAGGAAGTAGCCAGAGGGGTCATTGCCCCTTTTCCCGTAAGATTGTGGAATGGACATTGACAGTGGGGAATTGTAATAGGGAATAACAAATCTGACTCCATATTAGATCTGTTTCTTTTACTTTAACCTTTGATTTCTGTTGCTTTTGTTACGTTAATCACTAAAAGGATGTTGCCTATAGCATGAAGCATACTTAATGGCCCGTCTCAGGTAACCCTGCCCCCTCTGCCTGAATGTTAAACTAAAATACCTTTGTTCAGCTCACAGGGAAACATCCTGACCCAAGCCACCTGTGAATGACTGCAGGAAAGAAGAAATTAACATATCCCCTCCTTGAGTCTGGTGAAATCAGAAGACATTTACAAAACGTATGGGGCTTTTTACTTTACCTCCTCACTTGCCCCCTCTCTGTTCTATAAAAGAAACTAGCATCCAGGGCTTCCCTCGTGGTGCAGTGGTTAAGAATCCGCCTGCCAATGCAGGGGACACGGGTTCAAGCCCTGGTCTGGGAAGATCCCACATGCCGCGGAGCAACTAAGCCCATGCGCCACAACTACTGAGCCTGCGCTCTAGAGCCCGTGAGCCTCAACTACTGAAGCCCGCCCTCCTAGAGCCCGTGCTCCGCAACAAGAGAAGCCACTGCAATGAGAAGCCCAAGCACCGCAAGGAAGACTAGCCCCCGCTCACCACAACTAGAGAAAGCCCGTGCGCAGCAACAAAGACCCAACTCAGCCAAAAATAAATTAATTTTAAAAAAAAAGAAACTTGCATCCAGACCCCCTGCAAGACGGTTCTCTAGGACCTTAGTCTGCCATCTTCTCAGACTCCCAGCTTTCCAAATAAAGTTGTTATTCCTTGCCCCAACACCTCCTCTCTTGATTTATTAGCCTGTCATGCGGCGAGCAGAACGAGCTTGGACTCGGTAACAATGAAAGTCAACTTCTCCTAAGATTGCTCAACGTAAATAGGAATCCTGTGGGCAGTGGAGGTCGGGGTTCCAACTAGGCTGGTCCTCAGGGACTTTGCCTCATTGAGCTCCATTCGGCTGACCAAAGGGGAAAGAGGGGGAAGCCAGAGATCAAGCGAGAGCAAAGTGAGAGCGACACAGAGGAAGAGAGAGAAAGGGAGATATTGGAGGAGAGAAAACTGAAGAACGACTAAGACAAAGACCTGGAGAAAAAGACATAAAAAGAGCTGAAGGAATAAGGAAGGAGGGCACACAGACACACGGAGACATAAACATCGGAAG